ATTCCATGAGAAGGTCAACCCCAAGACACATAATCATTAGATTTTCCAATGTGAAAATGAAAAAAAAAAAAAAAAATTAAGGGCAGCCAGAGAGAAAGCCCAAGTCACTTATAAAGGGAAACCTATCAGACTAACAGGAGACCTCTTAGCAGAAACCACACAAGCCAGAAGAGATGGGAGGTCAATATTCAACATTCTTAAAGAAAAGAATTTTTAATTCAGAATTTCATATCCAGCTGAACTGAGATTCATAAGCAAAAGAAAAATAAAATCCTTTCCAGACAAGCAAATACTAAGGGATTCATCATCACCAGGCTGCCTTGCAAGAGCTCCAAAAGGAAGCACTAAATATGGAAAGGAAAAACCAGTAGCAGCCATGGCAAAAACAAACCAAAATATAAACATCAATGACACTATAAAGAAACTGCATCAACGAGTGTACAAAATAACTGGATAGCATCATGATGACAGGATCAAATTCACACATAACAATATTAATGTAAAATGTAAATGGGCTAAATGCACCAATTAAAAGGCACAGACTGGCAAACTGGATACAGAGTCTGTCTAGACCCCTTGATGTGCTGTATTCAGAACACCAATCTCATGTGCAAAGACACTCAGGCTTAAAATAAAGGTACAGAACAAAATTTACCAAACAAATGGAAAGCCAAAAAAAAAAAAAAAAAATTCAACAAGAGCAAAGTATCCTAAATATATATGTACCCAATACAGGTGAATCCAGATTAATAAAACAAGTTAGTCATTTAGTCATTTATACATTTAGTCATTTATCTGATACAACAATAGTTGGAGACTTTAACACCCAATTATCGATGTTAGACAGATCAATGTGTCAGAAAATTAGCAAGACTATTCAGGACTTGAACTCAGTGCTGGATCAAGTGGACCTAATAGACATCTATAGCACTGTTCACCCCAAATCAACAGAATATACATTCTTTTCAGTGCTGCATGGCACTTATTCTAAAACTGAACACATTATTTGAAGTAAAACACTCCTCAGCAAATGCAAAAGATTTGAAATAATAACAGTCTCTCAAACCACAGGGCAAACAAATTAGAACTCAGTATTAAGAAACTCACTCAAAACCACGTAATTACATGGAAATTGAACAATCTGCATGATTCCTGGGTAAATAATAAAATTAAGGCAGAAATCAAGATGTTCTTTGAAACCGACGGCAACAAAGAGACAATGCAGCAGAATCTCTGGGACACAGCTAAAACAGTGTTAACAGGGAATTTTATAGCACTAAATGCCCACATCAAACAATGATTTTGTGTCCTTTGTAGGGACATGAATGAACCTGGAGACCATCATTCTCAGCAAACTGACACAAGAACAGAAAATGAAATACCACATGTTCTCACTCATAGGAGGGTGTTGAACAATGAGAACACATGAACACAGGGAAGGGAGCACTACACACTGGGGTCTGCTGGGGGTAAATAGGGGAGGGACAGTGGGGGGTGGGGAGTTGGGGAGAGATAGCATGGGGAGAAATGTCAGATATAGGTGAAAGGGAGGAAGGCAGCAAATCACGCTGCCATGTGTGTATCTATGCAACAATCTTGCATGTTCTTCACATGTACCCCAAAACCTAAAATGCAATTTTAAAAAAGCCAAAAAGACCTCAGATCAACACCATAACATCACAATTAAAAGAGCTAGAGAAGCAAGAGGAAACAAATTCAAAATGTTGCAGAAGACGTGAAATAACTAAGATCAGAGCTGAACCGAAAGAGGTACAGAAACCATAAAACCCTTCAAAAAGTCAATGAATCCAGGAGCTGGTTTTTTTTCTTTGGGAAAAAAAAATCTGATAGACAACTAGACTAATTAAGAAGAAAAGAGAGAAGAATCATATACACACAACAAAAAATAATGAAGGGGATATCACCACTGACCCCACAGTGATACAAACTACTATCAGAGAATACTATAAACACCTCTACACAAATAAACTAGAACATCTAGAAGAAATAAATGAATTCCTGGACATATACACCTTCCCCAGACTACATCAGGAAGAAGTAGAATCCCTAAGTAAACCAATAACAAGTTCTGAAATTGAGGCAGTAATTAACAGTCTACAAAAATAAATAAATAAATAAGAGCCCGGGATCAGACAGATTCACAGCCAAAGTCTATCAGAGATACAAAGAGGAATTGGTACCACTCCTTCTGAAACTATTCCAAACAATTGAATAGCAGGACTCCTCCATAACTCATTTTGTGAGGCCAGCATCATCCTGAAATCAAAACCTGACTGAGGCACAACAAAAAAAATAAAACTTTAGGCCCACAACCCTGATGAATTTCGATTCAAAAATTCTCAATAAAATACTGGTAAACCAAATTCAGCAGCGCATAAAAAACTTCAGCCACTATGATCAAGTCAGCTTCATCCCTAGGATGCAAGGCTGGTTCCACATACACAAATCAATAAACATAATCTATCACATAAACCAATGACAGAAACCACATGATCATCTCAATAGATGCAGAAAGGGCCTTTGATGAAATTTAACATCCCTTCGTGTCAAAAACTCTCAATAAACTAGATAATGATGGGACGTATCTCAATATAAGAACTATTTATGACAAACCCACAGCCAATACCATACTTAATGGGCAAAAGCTGGAAGCATTGTTTTTGAAAACCAGTTTAAGACATGGATTTTCTCTCTCACCACTCCTATTGAACATAGCATTGGAAGTTTTGGCCCGGGCAATCAGGCAAGAGAAAGAATAAAGGTATTCCGATAGAAAGACAGGAAGCCAAGTTGTCTCTGTTTGCAGACAACATGATTGTATATTTAGAAAACCCCATCATATCAGCCCCAAAACTCCTTAAGCTGATAAGCAACTTTAGCAAAGTTTCAGGAGACAAAATCAATGTGCAAAAATCACAAGCATTCAAAATGCTATATACCAAAAATAGACAAGCAGAGAGCTGAATCATTAATGCAACTCATAATCTACTTTATGAAGATTGAGATAAGTTAAAGTAAAAGCATAGAGAAGTAATACTAACCAAAAGAAAGCAGTAATAGCTTCATTAATTTTGAACAAAGCTGATTTCAAAACAAAGAAAATTATGAAGAATACATAGAAGCATTACATAGTGTTAAAGAGGCCAATTATCCAGAAAGACAGTCATTCTAAACATGTATACACTTGTCAACAGAGAATCAAGACACCTAAAAACAAAGGCTAAACTGAGTCAACTCAAAAAGAAATAAACAAATCCACTATATAGTAAAATATTTCAATACTTCTTCTTCAGTAATTGACAGACCAAACAGAAAGAGAAACAGTAAGGAAATCGTTGATGGGAATAACACAATTAATAACTTGATCCAATTGACATTTATAGACTGCTTCATACAACAACAGCAGGATATACATCTTTTCCAAGCACAAATGGAGTATTTAACAAGACAGATTACATTGGAAACATTAAAACACTCCCTTAAAATTTAAAAGAATAAAAATCATATATAGTATGTTTTCAGAAAATAATAGAAGCTAGAAATCACTAATAGGTTGCTGAAAATTCTAATATTTGAAAATTAAACAATGCCCTTCTAAAGTAATACATGGGTCAAGGAAGGAGTTGCAAGAGAAATTTAAAATATTTTGACTTCAATAGAAATGAAAATTCAACTCATCAAAAATTTATGGCATGCAGTGAATGTTGTACTTAGGAGAATTTACAGCATTAATGCATGTATTAGAAAAGAAGAAAGATCTCAAATCAGTAACCTAATATTCTACCTTAAGCACACAATTTAAAAAAGAGAAGAATAATTTAAGACTAAATCAAGCAGAAGAAAATAAATAAATAATAAAATAAAATAAATTAATAAAATTGGTAAACTTCTAGTCCAGGTAATTACAAAATACGCATTACCAATATTAGAATTCATATAAAATGTTTTCCTATATTCTAACTTTTTACATTGTGGTAAAAGGCTGCAGTATAAATAACATTGACTTCTAGTAATTTGTTGAGGATGTCTTTCTCAACTAAATGGTATATCACTTCTTAAAATGTTCCGTAGATGTTTAAAATCAAGAGTTATTCTGTGTTGACATGGTAGATAATTCTATATGCATATTTATACACATATATAATTTAATTTATTATGTCTTTTTTATACTTGGTATAAAATGTTAGCATAAGTTACTACTTTTTTACTTGACATGTAATGCATTACCAATTTTACAAGGAGTTTTTCTGCTTCTGACAGTATTATATATCTTGATGTATTCATTTTATGTTTAAACCTTCATAATTCCTGTTTTTATAAACTATTACAATTAACATAAAATTTTCATATTTAATTGATTTTCCTTTGAATTGCATATTGCTATATAGTAATAATGCAAATTTTGCTTAAAACATGTGAATAGTATATGAATGATACATGAAGAAAACTTATCCCTGTTTCATTTGTATTACATTCTGAAAATTTATATTGTCAGGTACTGTTTGCCATAAAGTAAAATTTTTTATTATTTTTTATTTTGCTAATAATTTCTCTTTTTCTATTATTCCAGTCTAGTGGATAACTTTATGATATAGGGGCTTGTAATGGGTGATTTTGTGTTTGTTTGTTATTTGTTTCTCAACACTAAGAGCATTTATGTGGTGCTTAATACAAACACATAACCCCATTCTTAATACATAAATACATAAAATAAAACAAATACTATTCTTTCCAACTTTCACATACAATTTTAAGTGCATCTTTTGTGCACATACACATTCATAAGGGTGTGTGTGTATATATACATATATATATATATGTATATACACAGACAACACTTCCATAGATATAGGTATAACTGTGTTATTTTATTTTATTTTTCCCCTTTAAATAGGTGTTTATTGGCAGTGTGCTGGAAAGAGTTCGTATTCACAGACAACATCACACACCACTGTCACCAGGGAAGCAAGAGCGTGGGCAAGCCAGCCTGGAGCCCCAGAGTAAGAGGCTCCCTCTTCAAGAGAGTGTGGGAAGGAGCGGGGCCTGGAGTGTTGGGGGCAGCCTGGGAACACCTTCACTTAGTAGGCGTGGTTAGAGATGAAGAGGGACTCGCTGGCAGCAGCCCCAGCCTGACCACTTGGAGTGTACTTTCCTTGGCTGGCGAGGCTGTTGGCCAGGGCGCGCTTGATGTACTCCTCCTGCTCCACTTTCTTGTTTTCCTTCTTCCCACCCCAGGCCTTCAGGGCAGAGGCCTGCAAGGCTCTGCCTGCTGTAGGAGAAGGTCAGGGCCCAGGGCTTCAGCAGGGGGCACTTGTTAATGGTGTTGAGGCTGATGGATGTCTCCTCCTCACTTAGGGCTCCAGAAAGGAAGGTGATCCCAGGGACCGTGGGGGAACTGTGTGGCGCAGTGCTGTGACCATCGCCATGGCAGTCTCCTCGTAAGGAAACTTCTGGGTGCAGGCTTGACCTGGGGCAACCATGTTGGGCTTCAGCAGGGTGCCTTCCAGGTAGATTTGGTGGTCGCTCAGAGCCTTGTAGACAACAGCCAGCCCCTTCTTGGTCACATACTGACAGCGTTTCAAGTCATGGTCCTCATCAGGGAGGATCTCAGGCTCCACGATGGGCACAGTGCATTGGCATTTTCCATGATGGCGAGGGCTGGGGGGTGTGTTCCCCACTTCAGCACGTGCCTCTTGGCGAAGTCAGAGCCATCCTTCTTGTACTGGGCACAGCTCTCAGACTACCCATGCAGCCCTTGGGTTGTGGTCTCACCATTTGTTCCTGCCCGGGGTAACCACTCCCTTGTCTACCTTGATGCCCACAAACCAACCTTGGATTTGATAACTTGGGAAAAGGGACGTCCATCATCCGCCTTCTGATAAAGTGTCTCATGGAAGAGGATGACGCCCCCTATGCAGGGATTTACACGGTCATCCGCTGTCAGCAGCAGCTGGCGGTAGAAGCGCCGGTTCTCCTCCGTGTTCTCGGTGCCAATGGACTGCAGCTGCTTGGCAATGCTCCCAGTGGACTCATCTGCAGCCAGGATGCCCTTGCCCAGGGCCATGATGAGGTGAGTGATGTCAGTCAGCTCCTTCTTCTGCTCCGGGGTCAGCTCTGGATATTGGTAGGGCATGGTGCTGGTGGTAGCAAGTTCCTGGTACAAGAGAGGGGTGGGTGTGGGGGATGTGGCAGCAGAAGATGGCGGGCTGGCCAGTGGACTCAGGGAGCGAATGTGGCACTCATCACCAGGACCCCTTCTGCGGCGCATTCGGAGAGGAACGCAACGGATTCAGCCTCGGAGGGGGTGGTGCAAGGGGCGGGATAAATGTGCTATTCTTAATGTAATATTCAATGTGTATCTTTCTCACCCACATGGTAAATCAAGAACCCACCTTATTTTTTGATTCTTTATCTCCTTTCAACATCTGCATGGTTGCTGCTTTTGCTACCATTCCTCAGATCCTGCCAACAATAGGCTGAACATGGTGGATATACCACAGAGATGGCAGGACAATCTTAAAACTTCTATTCTGGAAGTAGCATGCATCACTTCTACTAACTTTCAATTAGTAAGAAAGAGTCATATTAAGGAGGTTGAGAAAGGGAAAACAGTTGGAAAGCCATGTATCTGTCTACAGTTTGATTACTGTAGAAGAAAAGTAGAACACTTTTAAGTGAAAGGCCATGAGTAGTTTCACACTTGTTTATGTATTTAAATGTGGATGTATATGACTATATATTTAGGGCATAATTTAGAGATGTAATTAATAAGTCAAAATATGCGTTTGGAAGTGGCACAGACACTGCTAAGTTGGCCTCAAACTATTTTTTATCTAATTACAATAACATTAATATTGATTGATTCCCCATTCAACTCATGTGATGGTTAATTTTATATGTTAACTAGACAGGCTAAGAGATACCCAGATACCTTCCAAAATGTTATTTCTGGGTGGGTCTGTGAGAGTGTTTCTGGAAGAACTTAATACTTTGAATCAGTAGACAAAGTAAGGAAGATCCACTCTTTCTATGTGTTCTGGAATCATCCAATTCATTGAGGGCCCAAATAGAACAAAAACGTGGAGGCAGGGTGAATTCTCTTTCTCTCCTGGAGCTGGGACATTCATCTTCACCCATCCTTGGACATGTGAGTTCTAGTTCTTAGGCCTTAATACTCAAACTGACTTATAGTAACCAGGTTATCTGGTTACTCAGCTTACAGACAGCATATTGTGTGACTTCTTAGAGTCCATATTGCATAAGCCAATTCCCATAATAAATTACCTCTTTTGTATCTATCTATCTATCAATCATCTAATCTATGTATATATATATACCATTGTTTCTGTTTCTCTGAAGAACCCACATCTTAATCAGCATTGGATGCTGTCAATATTTTGACAATTATTTTACAATCTGACTATTGTATTTAAAATTTTGTACTTGCTTTTCTCTTGTTATTACTAAGTTGATCCCTTTCTTAATAGATTTTGGCCATTAAAACTTCTTTTTCTTTTTCTATCAATTTCTTGTTTGTATTTTTTAAGTTTTAAAATACCAAATTGGATGTTAAGAATGTATGCAAATTTATTAAAACTATCATTTATTAAAATAAGAACATTTTCAAAATTACCTACACTTTTTCTCCTCGATTCACCTCCAAATTTTTGCTAGCACCACTGGAATTTTTGATCTAAGGAATCATAATTAAGTAATCATTTTTTATTTTATATAGTTTTTCTTCTAAAATTTATTTTTCTATTAAGCATATATACATGTATTATTTCTAATTGCTTTTATACTTATTGGTCTCAAGCTCATTAACTGTTTTATGCTATGACTTATCAATACATAAAATATTTATTTTATAACTTTGAACAAGCTTCAGTGTTTTTTTATGAAACATTGCTGGGAGGAAAATGGTGATAGGTCTTCTGAGTTATGTTACATCTAAAAAGGCTTTTGTAAGTGTTGTAAATAAAAAAATTAAATTGGTATTGTCAAGAATGATAACAAATCTAAGATTTTACCCTTTTTGAAAGTTAACAAGTTAGGCTAGTCAGACTGGTGAAGTTTCTCAAATGCTGGCCAAAGTCACAATATCCCTGGGTCAAAAAAAAAAGTGCATTACTCACAGAAATTAGAGTATCATGATTTTCTTGTGCTGTTCCAGAGACCAAATTCTTACAACATAAAGCAGAGAGGGCCAGGTAACTCTTGCATATGCAATAGATTGTATTATAGAACAGCAATGAATTTAGGAAGCCAAAATATTTTAACAGGGAAAATGTGCAAACCTGTCTTTTGCTCCAAAGGGAGACAATATTTCTCTCTCTCAAAGCTGTTCACTACACAACCATCCTTGAAAAAACTGTCTGCAACAAAAGCAGTCAGTGAAGAAAATTATCCAGCGCTACATGTTTGTGTAAGTTCTAAACAAACCATCATTTTCTTCCTTTTATAAATAACATTATTTTTGTTATGATACTTTTGGGATAATTTTAAGAAATCTATGTTTCACCAACCTGTACCTAGGTATTAGTAACTTTTAATTAATTTTATCTAAATTATAAATTTTATCTACATTTATAAATACTTGGAATTAAATAATTAATGTCATTGTTTTCTCATTTTGTGTTAGTCCATTCTTATGCTGCTATGAAGAAATATCTGAGACTGGATAATTTATAGAGAAAAGAAGCTTAATTGGCTCAGAGTTCCACTTGACTAGGAGCCCTCAGGAAACTTATAATCACAATGGAAGAAGGATCTCTTTACAGGGAAGCAGGAGACAGAATGAGTGCCAGCAATGAAAATGCCAGAGGCTTATAAAACCATCAGATCTCATGAGAACTCACTCACTATCACAAGAATAGCACAAGGGAAACTGCTTACATGATTCAATTACCTCCACCTGGTCACCCCCTTGATATATGGTATTATTACAATTCACTGTGAGATTTAGGTGAGGACCAAGAGCCAAACCATATTATTCTACCCCAGCTCCTTTCAAATCTCATCTTCTCACATTTCAAAACACAATCATGCCCTTCCAACAGTCCCCAAAGTGTTAACTTATTCCAGCACTAAACCAAAAGTCCAAGTCCAAAGTCTCATCTGAGACAAGGCAACTCCCTCTTGTCTATGAACCTGTAAAAACAAAAGCAAGTTAGTTACTTCTTTGATACAGTGGGGTTACAGGCATTGGATAAACACATTCATTCCAAATGGGAAAAACTGGCCAAAACAAAGGGGATATAGGCCTGATACAAGTCTGAAATCCAACAGGGCAGGCATTAAACCTTAAAGCTCCAAAATGATCTCATTTGATTCCATGCCTCACATCCAGGGCATGCTGATGCAAGAGGTGGGCTCCCATGGCATTGACTAGGTCCAGCCTTGTGGCTTGGCAGGGTACAACCTACCTGCTGGCTGCTTTCATAAGCTAGTGTTGAGTGCCTGCAGCTTCTCCAGGCACACAGTGCAAGCTGTGAATGGATCTACCATTCTGGGGTCTGAAAGATGGTGACCTTCTTCTCACATCTCCACTAGGAAATGACATAGTGGTAACTCCATGTAGGGGTTTCAACTGTCCAATTCCCTTCTGCACTGCCCTAGTAGAGGTTCTTCATGAGGGCTCCACCCCTGTAGCAAACTTCTGTGTGGACATCTGGGTGTTTCCATACATCCTCTGAAACCTAGATGGAGGTTCACAAACTTCAATTCTTGACTCCTGTGAACCCACAGGCTTAACACCATGTGAAAGTCACCAAGGCCTGGAGCATATACCCTCTGAAGTAATAGTCTGAGTTTGGCACCTTTTAGCCATCTCTGGAGCTGCAGCACTCACTATCATGAGAACAACATAGAGAAAACTGCCCCCATGATTCAATTACTTCCACTTAGTCTTTGACACATGGGGATTATTACAATTCAAATTATATTTGGGTGGGGACACAGAACCAAACCATATCTCCTTTTTTCCTGGTATAATTTTTGAAATGTTTCCTTTTTTTGAAGCCTACTTTGTATTCTCTGTCTTCCAAGTCTTCCTTAGTCCCTTTTATTGTTTCTATAATGTTATCCTTTTTCTTTTCATGTTGTTAGAGAATTTGAAAAATTTCCCCACATTATTGATGCAGCTCTCGGCAAAACCCTGAAATTTTACATTGTTCAATCCCATGCTAGGAGTAATGTTTCTTTTTTCTTTCTTATTTTTTTTAGATGGAGTTCCACTCTTGTCACTCAGGCTGGAGTGCAATGGTGCTATCTTGGCTCACTACAACCTCTGCCTACTGGCTTCAAGTGATTCACCTGTCTCAGACTCCCAAGTAGCTGAGATTACAGGTGCCCATGCCCACAGCTGGCTAATGTATGTATTTTTTAGTAGAGATGGGTTTTAACCATGTTGGCCAGGATGGTCTCGAACTCTTGACCTCAGGTGATGTGCCGCTTCAGCCTCCCAATGTGCTGGTGAGCCACCACACCAGGCCAAATGTTTCTGATACTCTAAATTTCTCTGATTAAGAAACTTGTCACATAAATCTAGCATTTCTGAACTTTCAAATATTGCTGCTTGTTAATGATAATGGAGTATAACATCTGACTATTGTCTATTTCTCAAGAGTGAATTTTGAGTGGACTCTAAGTTATATATCTAGTTTCATCTTCTCTCTTATATATCTATTTTTTTAAAGCCTATCAAATTCTAGTTTATTGCCCTAAATTTCTGGATAACATTAGGCATTCTTTTCTACCTACAGCATTTTAAAACATTATTCATTATTTTAATGGATACCTGCTTGGGAAAAAAGGTGAGGAGGCAGGGAGAATTGAAATATAATACAAAAGTCAATTAAAATATTTGAATTACAAAAGCAAAGGAAATACCAGGCCAATTTTAAATTTCTCAGTAATAGTAATTCTCAGAAAGGAATGAATCTCTATAGCAGCACTACAGTGGGGCGTAAGAACATGGGCTCTGCTATAAAGGCTCAAATCCAAATCCTACCAATTATTAGCTTTATGACCTCAGATGAGCTATGTATTATTCCTACGTGGCATCACCTCTAAATTAGGACAATAATATCTGCCTCACTGGATGAAAGAGTAGCTTAAATGATCCTGAAAACATAGACCACATAGCACAATACATCATAAATGCC